ATCCACTTGGGAGAAGGAAAAAATACCCCAAAACCAAATTCTTTACCATCCAGTTCAATCTAAAATAAAATAGGAACTAACAGAATAGATACTGAGAAGCACTGATGATGATGAAAATCACTGTGAATTATGGCAAGTGCACATCAGGGATCTAATTGCAGTCAACTGCAACTATCAAATCACAGCTTCCTGGGTTAACAGCCTCCTTCTTTCCTTCATGAGCTAGAGGAGAAGCTTGAGGCCCCTGCATGGTTTGGGCCTGGAGCAAGCATTCCTGCTTCCTCTCAGCTTCCTGACATCTTGCAGCCTATTAATAGCATCCTGCAGCTCAGCCACCTGCTGCAGGAGGACCTCCACCAGGGAGCATCAAGTGCAGCCCTTCCCATTGTGCAGGAATAAAGAGGAACTTAAAAATAATACCAGTCTCTCCAATTAGTAGCTGAGTGAGTTCAAACACTTATAATGACTTTATAGACAAAGAGTATAAAGAAGGTTTTCTTTATTTATATGGAACATCAACTGCTACTTAGCTATTTAAATTTAAAGAGAAGTTTTAGTGTAGTTAAATTCCCTGATATAATCACTTAGAAATATACTGACAGTAAACACCTATTAAAAAAAAATAATAAAAGCAACTGCCTTTCATTGATTCTTGTACCAGCAGTGGTGTGGTCAGCAGGACCAGGAAAGTGCCTGTACTTGGCACTACTGATGCTGCACCACAAGTCCTGTGTTCAGTTCGGAGCCCCTGACAATGAGAGAGATATGGAGGTGCTGTAACATGGCTAAAGAAAGGCAGTGAAGCTGATGAAGTATCTAGAGCACAAGTCTTATGAAGAGCTGCTAAGGGAACTGGACTTGTTTAGCCTGGCGAAAAGGGAGCTCAGGGGAGACCTTACCAGTCTCTACAACTACCTGGAAGGAGGTTGTAGTGAGGTGGGTGTCAGTTTCTTGTCCCAGGTAACAGGTGATTAGACAAGAGGAAATGGCCTCAAGTTGCACCAGGGAAGACTTAGACTGGATATTACGAAACAAGTTATTCACCAAAAGGGTTATCAAGCATTGGAACAGGCTGCCTGGCAAAGGGATTGAGTCACAATCCTTGGAGGTATTAAAAGGTGTGTAGATGTGGCACTTAAAAGACAAGGCTTAGTGGTGGACTTGGCAGGGTTAGGTTTTCAGATGGACTTGATCTTACATGTCTTCTCCAACCTATATGCTTCCATGATTCTGTGATTCTCTGTCTTCTTCTTCATACCATCATGCAGTCTATAACAATTGTACAGGCAATGACAGAATATTGAAGCATCAGACAGCAATAACAGAAAACACAAAGTAGTTGCTTTGCCTAAGAGGAAGTAATCCATTTTGAAGGTCATTTGTCTTTATATATTTATAATATGCACATTCTATTACATACAAGGGTTTCAAAGATTACCTAATATGGAGAGAGCATATTACTTTTCTGTGCAGTGTGTTAAATGATAAATTGCTCCAGTGTTGACACAATACATAAATACACAGTATCCATCAATAAATAAATCTGAAAAGAGCTGTATGTAAAAGCTGTGACAAAAGAGTTTTAGGAATAGTCATTTTACTTCTCCAATGATTAATATTGTGCTGTTACTACAGGAACATAAACATGTTGGTCTCTGTAGATACACAACACAATGCAGATTGTAATTCTACTTGTAGAATACCGAGTGATAAATCTTTATTGAAATGAACAGGAATACTTACATGAAAGACTCACATGAAGGTTAACAAAGGTCATTGTTCTGAACTCTGTGATCAAATGTATCTTTGGGAAGGGATGACCAAAGTCACTGCTATCAGCAATATCAAGGTTCTTTACATTCTCTTCAGCTATCAACTCAGTTAATTATCAGTAGTTCAATATTACTATGAGTCGCCTGTTAGAGAATACTGTTATCAACCTATCAGGCACAGAAAGAGAAATCTTTAACTCATTCTGAAGAGTCTAAGTTGATATTAACTCTAGTGACACTCAAAGCAATGACTTTCTCTTTCCCCGTCTGGTTTGCCTAAGTGCTTGAACCAGATCCGTCACTGTAACCAAAAAGTAAACAGAGAAGGGGACAGAAATAAGTGAACCTAGTTTTGGCACCTTCTGGTTATGAGTTATGTTGTTTGCCCCTAGTAGCCAAGGCCTTTAGGCATGTTAATCATATCTGCTCAAATTCATTGCTTAGTATAATGAGGTGACAAGTACTGTGACCAAGACAAGGGCAGAAGATGGTTAGTATCTAAACTTTATCAAAGTCTTTGATACTGCCTCCTTATCACCAAATTGGTGACATTCAAGCTAGGTAAATGGACAATAAGGTATGCTGAAAATTGTCTGGACTGCCAGGCTCCAAGTGCCGGGTACAGCCTGTTCAGTTGGCAGCCAGTAACAAATGGCTTCCCTCAGGGATCTGTTTAATGTCTTCATCACCAACCTGGACGACTACAGAGGGCATTCTGAGTAAGCATGTGGATGACCACAAATTAGGGGGAGTGGCCAATTCATTGGAGCTCAGGGCTGCTATTTAGTGGCACACAGGGAGGCTGGAAAAACAAGATGACAAGAACCTTAAGGTTCAACAAAAGCAAAGGCATCTAGAATTTCGTAAATCCATTCAAAAATATAGCCAATGACTGACAGGGAAGTAGCATTGCAGAAAAAAAGTTGGGTATCCCGATAGATGTAAAGTTGAATATGAGTAAGAAGGACACACCCTTGCAGCAGAGAAAGCTAGATACATTCCTGGCTGTTAACAAAAGTGTCGCTAGAAGTTTGAAGGAAGGTTTTCCTCCCCCCTCTCTTTGGCACTTCTGAGAGCTGCTTTGGGCTTTGAAGTACAAGACATACTGGAATAAGTTCAGTTTAGAGCCATCATGATGGTCAGGGAGACAACTACCTTGTAGGACAATGTAAAACCAACAGACGTTAACTCTTCCTGGAGATGCACAGCAAGCAATAGGACAAGACGTACAAAGCAACAGACTTCTTTTTTTTAAATCATTTTTTAAAAAAATGGTCAAATACTGCAACAGGCACACAGAAGGACGGAATCTCTGTTCTTGAAGGTGTTCAAAACTGAGCTGAACAAATTTTCTAAGCAACCTGATTTGATTAGATCTGCTTTGAGCAAGGGGACCTGTGGATTAGATTTGTAACATATTTTATCTTGTAATTGATTCTGCACACACTGGAACCCTTCACAGAATCTCAGCCCGTAACTATCACATTTGGTTGCTTTCCTTAAATAGCTTGTGATTTCAGACTATAAGTTTTATCTGCTTAGGGAGAGCAGGCAATTGGAACAGAGGCATTAAACTCTATCAAGGACTCCCAGAACTCTAGCTTCAAACCAGGGTAGTTCCAAAATGAAATCCAAATCATACAGACTTAAATGAATACTAGAAAAATGATATTTCATTTGATAGGGTGACAACTTCATTACCAGATCTGTTGATAGCCTCCTAAATGGTTTGGTTTTCTTTTCCAGTTTCAAAGCCTACCAAATTAATGTGAAATGATACCAAGTCCAGTAATTCTCTGCATAAGAAAGATACCAAGTCTGAATCTAAGGAATGACCTGATCTGAGTTATGAATTTATAAAACACAGTGAAGGAATTTTATAGTGAAAGAGTGTGATTATAGTAGAAAGTAAAGGATTGCTGCCAGAGAAACAGAGATAAGCAGGGATGGTGTTGCTATAGCAACAGGATGACATCAGGGTTTTCCTATTCAGTGCACTGGGTGATAATGAAGTATCAAACCAGCAGCTTCTCTATCTGCTTGCTCCCCAGAGGTGGGCAGGGCCCCATTTTTGTTTGATTGTTTCACACTTCAGAGGTGTCTAATTAGGAGGTTTACAGGTTTCTTGACATCTGTGATAAGATTCTTTAATGCCTCGTTCTTCTGTGGGAGTCTAAGGAGAGACACATTCACTTGAAAACAAAAGAAGAGCCCTTTCTCTGTCCCTCAGGAGCAAAGCATTCTAAAGAGAATAAGATTCAAGGAAAAAATGGGAACATGGTTCATCACACAGCACTATGCCTCTCAGGCATCATCAGGCCACAGCTGACCAGCCAGCTGCAAAATGAAATTTAGTAGAGGATAAAATAAATGAGGTTATTGCTTCTGCCAAATTAATGCTTATTTTTAAGCTTCTACATTTTCCAGGGAAATGGTGTCTCCCTGGACCACCTTGCAACATAGTGTAGACTGCTTTAAAGACATTTACATTTCTTTAACCTTGAAGCACATCTATGTTAGATTAATGAGATCCTCTTGGTAGAGGAGAGGGTAACTAGAAAAGGATAGGTGATAATACAGAGGAGGAACAAGAAAAAACTTAATAAAACCCTACTGATAAGGTGTATAGAAAAACATCCATTATTTGCATTGCAAATAATAAACACAACCCCAGCTAGGGGCTTATATTAGTTTTGTCTGTATCAAGGACTGAAGAAGATGTAGTTTCATAGCTATTGCAAAGAAATCCACAGGGTGACTTGACATTTGCTCTACAAAAGGCAATACTGAACCTTTAATAAAAACCCAAACTTTCGATCCACCTAACCCTAAGAGATCACTCCTATTTAGTAAGTATACAATAATAATCAAGGTCTGGATTTAACACATTGATAAGTTGAGAATTTTGTTAAATGAAATGTTTGAGTGGCTGCATCTCTGACTACTCTGCAGTAGTGGTCTACCTGAGCTAGCTTTAAACTGGGTTGCTTAGACAGCAGAAGCAATTTAGCCACAGATCAGACAAGTCAGTGCAAGCTGTAAAATTTCTCAAGCAGCTGAATAAATAGCTCACAGTGAGTTTCTGGGTGCAAAATTTAGAGCGAAGACAGACAGATGGACAAACAGGTAAGATTTACACTTTAAGCACCCACAAGGCAGCTAGCCTGGGCAGACCTGCTTTACATTGTCGTCACAGGAATATCTCCATCACAAATACACAAGTAAGAGAGAGTCCAGGCATGAAAAATTTATATTTTGACAGGATGCGAAAAACAGAAAATCTCATACAAGCGAAGCAAAGTTCTTGGTAAAATGAGGCACAAGATAAAGGTTTCCTAATGCTAACACTATCCCCTGTTATTTAGGATTCCCTGTTATTATTTTTGTGATAATACCTGTTATTATGTGAACTTCGGAAATTTTTGGTATGTTTGATTTATTTGAAGGCATATAAATTAAACTGAATTTGCATGAATTGTTTGCCGCAGAATGGACTCAGACATCAATATGATCAGGCCAAAAGCTGTTTATTACAAAGTATCAATTCCTTATATATTGTTGCTTACACTTGCTCACAATGATTTGGCACATTATGATTTGATATATGTCCTTAAAACCCCTAGTAACTAACATATAATTGGTCAGGCACATTTATGAGAACTTGACCCTGAAAGCTTGCCAACAGTCCACAGTTCTCATAACTCTGTGTATTCCAGCTTATCTTGCTTGCTTAAGTTTCCTCGGGCCTCTCACAGCCTTGCTGTATCTTTTGGAATTATTCAGAGTTCATGTACCAAATATCCATTCTCCTGTGAGAGCACTGTCTCCACCATGTTGGTATTTGAAACAGCCAAGAGGGGAGAAGGAATGGTGCAGAAGGAAAAGTATCCAACAAGTTTTGACTTCTGACCTTTGATCTCACAGACGTCCCTGGTGAGGAAGTGATTACCTGTAGCCAGAATTGAATTTCATTCTCAATCCAAAGGTAACAGTCCCAGTGGATGTGACCTGAATATCTAATGAGAAGTCCATCTGTTAAGACATTGCATTGTGGCAGAAATGCTATCTTGGGACAAGACCCTCCTTGGATCTGAGTACCCTCTGACAAGAGTGTTTTGCGATTTCAAGTGTGTAATAAAGGCAGAATTATTATCTTCCACATAAAAGCACAAACAAGGACAAAAGGGCTTTGCAATGTAGAAAGTCTAAAGCAATACAACCAAGGCAGTGTCAATTTCAGACAAACTCATCCCAAATTCACTCCTCAACATGCTTGTGTCTTTAAGAACAGACATTAACAGTGGGTTTAAGGAGCAAGAAAAGAAGGAGCGGTACCCCTATTTGTGAGGTTTCAGTATTTCAAATACAATTTGGAAAGACTCTTTGTCTAGCTTAGCAGAGATATACTCAATACTAGGGTTGGCCATAAACCAATTATAAGTGCACACTGCTTATCAAGTGCTGGTCTGTAAACATCAAAGCAGCATGGTGTGCTAATACAGACATATATAGCCGCAGTAGATACATTTCTTGAGCTGCATTTAAGATCTGGTAATGGTGGGTTTGGATTGCTCTATACTTCAGTTCCTAAGCACAAGAGCACAGGGACAGATCTTCAATATTATATGTCTGTCTTTATACGATATTGGAAGAATTTTATCATGTCACAGGTATTTAGCAATAAAGTAAGATATTCCTCCTTCCCCCACACCCCTTTTAACACATCTTTGCTGGTACCATGCAGTCCACACTGCCAAAACCTGGGTCCTGCCAGCAGACACTAGCAAGCAACAATGCAATTTCTTAAGTTTAAAGGCCACGCTAAATCCTTAGCCTTTACACTAATGAATTCTGCAAAGTGTGGCCTTCTAGGCAGCAGCAATTTCAGATACACAAAAAAAAAATAATTATGAAACTAAACCATACAAATCAGTATTGCAAAGCTTAATCACGTTAATTTTTGGAAAATCAAGTTAGCTTTTTAATGCCATTTTATAACAGGAAACTTCTCCCGGTATATCTGAGAAGTGTCCGTAACAGAAGCTTGGATGTAGATGGGGGCTGGGTTAAGATTTTCTAGGTCACTGAAGTCTTTTAAAGCAAAAGTATCAGAAATGCAGCCGCCTCCAGGATGGCAATCCTTTCTCACACTTTACCTTGTTTGCAAATTAACATGTGATGAACCACAGATCTAAACATGCCTTCTTTGCAGAAAACACAAACTGCAAAATGTTTTGTCTTGGGATACAAAGACTTACATAGAATAGCTTTGTCCCCCTACCTCCCCACACAGTGAAAATCATCTCACTGCAATTCTGTCACCACCTTTACACAAAGCTGCCCCCTTAGTAAAATAAAATCACTGATTTTATTATCTAAAAGATTCATAATAAATATAACTACTTCCATGGGAAACTACGCTGAAGATGATTTTTGTGTAATCCCTTATGTGTTGCAGACCAAGGAATTTATTTACTAGCTTGTGAAAAGATGAGAATGAGCAGGGAGAAAGGATGCCTCAGGGCTGAGTGGCAGGGGAGAAAGGATGCAATTAGTGGAGTTTTAGAGGGATTTTACATCAACATAACTCACCTAGAACAGCATTTTTCTCAGGATGGTGTTCTCACACAATTCTGAATATCCACTATTATGCAAAGCAGATATTACTACCAAAAAACATACTGAAATTTATGGTCTACTCTAAATGCCCATGAAATCATGTGGAGTCTTTCAGAGATATCAAAAGACTTTTGGTCAGGGCCATACAGAGTTTCTTTATTTTGCGAAACGGGTGACGCAGCAATTTAGAGAAGAGGAAGCCTGGTATTCCCCACCTGCAAACCTGCTCTATCTAATTAACACAACTCTAATTAGGATCATTATCAAGAGTAACTGAAGCAATAAAACATGACTCCAGTACAATTCCCTTTGGAAAGGGAAAGGCAGGCAAGTCACAACACAGTTAAATTTATTTCAGTTACCTCTAACATTTGACATCAGTTGCATAAGTGCATATTTGTCTTGTGCCATGACATCTTGAATTTTTCATTGAAACAAAACACGACGGAGGTCATCTGAAAACAAAAGTTTCAAAGACAATTTTCCATTGAACAATATCATAATTTTTGACAGTAACGAGCACAGAAATGGAAACACTAATTTTCTACAAGAAAAAATATTTTTGGAAGTTAGTAAATGAGATATGTTTCATGCAGGGTAGTAGTCATGTTAAAACATCACCCTTTTTAACTGATGAAAAGCAGTAAAATCAAAGAAGACGTTTCATTAACAGAGGAAGTACAGCTATAACGTTTCTTTTGTAATTTCTTAAAATAGTTCATATATATATCCATACAAAACCACATTCAAATACAACCTATAGAGAAACATAAATACTTACTCAATAGACTCACACAGAAAAGCCCAATAACATTCTGTGATACTCAATCATGTTTCTTTCTGCATAGGTATGAGAAGTATTTTTACTGGTTATCTCTGAAAAAATCATTATACAGTATTTCTCTTGCACTGAATACACACATATTCCAATATTTCCTTTCTAATAGAAGGATTATTTTTTTTCCCTGATGAGAAACTCATTTAATCTTTGTTAGTCTGTCATAGCCCAGCTGGTAACTCAGAACCACTCAGCCGCTCACTCACTCTCTGTAAGCGGCGAGGAGAAGCAGACAGGCCAACCCAATATGGGTGATAAGCAACTTCTACTTTATTTGTGACGCAGTTCACACATATATAGGAGTGGTATTCAGCCACTCCTTCTTGGCACAACAGTATTGGTTAGCCCCCCACAGCTTCCTCCACATTCTCCTCCCATGTCCAGTCTCCGGCTACCTGTGGGGGCCACCCCCTGCCTTGCTTGCACAGTCCTCCAGAACTCTATGGTCCTGCTCTTAGAGTCATTCTGCAACAATTCCCCCCTTTTTCTTTGTGCAAGCAAGGCATTATGGGTTATTCTGTTCACCTGTTTTATCACACAACTATAAGCAAGTCTAATAGCTACGATGATTAACCTAATAATGATACATAAGTGCAATACTTTTAAACAGTGCTTGACTCAACCTGTAATGCCCCGTGAAGACAACCATCTAGTTATTCTTAGGATATTGCTCATTTACTATTGCTGGGTAAGCTTAGCCAGGGTTCTCAGCTGTGCGTGCATCGAATTAGCATAATCAGAGAGACTCATACAACACATTCCATTAAACTCTTCACATCCATGTCCCTGTTCCAACAACAAAAGGTTCTGCAGTGTTGCATGTCTTACAGAGTCAACATTAAAACAAATCAGGAATTGCCTTCGATGTAGAATTGTCTGCTTATCAACTCAGCAACCCAGTCTGCTTAGTTGAGCCAAGGCCCCGGCTGAAGCACTTACAGTGATTTGGCATATTATGATTGGATACATGTTTTGAAGACCCTTAGTGACTAACATATAATTGGTTAAACACAGGTGTGAGAACTCAACCTTGAAAGCTTGCCAACAGTCCACAGTTCTCATTAACTTGGTGAATTCCAGCCTCTTATCTTGCTTGCTTAAGCTTCTTCGGGCCTCCCATGGCCTTGCTGTATCTTTCAGGACTATTCAAAGTTTATGTACCACTTATGCATTCTCCTGTGAGAACACTGTCTCCACATCTTCCCCCTTTATGTTTTATATACGGTTTGGGTGGCCATACTTGATCAGGGGATCTGGGCTAGATTATATTTCCAACATATGCCAACTAGAGGCTGCCTGGGCCTGCCCCTTTTTTCTGCTGTATGGCTCTCTGATAACAGGCTGTATAGCTCTCTGATCCTTCACATCAAGGTCTGGCATGGCATGTGTCCCCACCGCTCCACGCCTGCTGGGTTGCAGCCAACAGCATAGCTAAAGGTTCTTCTTGGTGGCAAACAGAAGCCAACCCAGTCTTGCCCTTGATTGTGGTAGCAGGCATTTGGTCAGCCTCAGTCCTTGCACCTTGTTGTCAATGCACAGTTTCACCTGCTTCATCCAGTAACAAGTCGCTACTACAGCAAGGCACACACAAATTTACATTAGCAGAGTAACTATTACAGGGTGCAGCAGCATGTTGAAGATGCTGATGGCAGTGAAGGACTAGCCAAAGAAATTTCTTACCAGTGGAATTCTCCCCCCCTCTTAAATTTGTTCCATCACCTGCTTTATAACACTACCATTGTATTAAAATTTTTCTAGCTTTTGCCTTAGTATTTTCTAGCAGCTACTGCAAATTTCCATACTCTAACATCTCTTTTACAAGTGACAAATCTATACAATACAAGGTGCAGTTTCTTATTAGCAACTATCTAGTAAATACAGGTGGTTTTATACACAAAATCACCACCTCTAATAATAGCTACTTTACAAGCACACATATTCAGGATGTTACTCTTCAGTTGCCCCCAAGTGATGTTTTGCAGTTATTTGTTCTTTCTCTTCCTCTATCTCATTCTGCTTGGGGTAATCACAGTCAGCTCCTGTAGCTGAGGCATCAGGTTTATCCATTCGTCTGTCCAGCTCATGGCAAGGCTTGACAAACTTTGCAGGCAGTCACCATGGACCTGTAGGCAGGAGGACACAAATATACCCCCTCCCCCAGGTTATCAGTTCTTCAGTTCTTGAGAAGTAGACAGGTTAAGTGAAGCATCATTACTCTCTCTCCCCCCCCCCTTTTTTTTTTTTCCTTTTTTTTTGTCCCTGCAAAAGCCATCATTACTCCCACTACAGTCCCACGTACAGAATGCGGCACAAGGACCCTGTGGAGACTAACAGCAAACCAGCTCCGAGAAGCATCATTGCAGTGCGAGGTGGCAGGCTCAACCTTAGCAGGCATCCCCGCAGAGGCTCTGCCTCCCCCACATCGTATGAGGCTTGGGCTTTTATACTGACCAAAATGCACACTCATTCCGACACAGGTGGTCAGCCTGTGCTGGAAGAAGTGGTCAGCAGTATCTACAGAGGTCTCCAAGGGTTGATAGAAACCTGGACATACTTATATTTACCAACTTCTAGTACATGAGTATCACAGAGAAACTGTATGGGCTCCCCCTGTCAGTTGCAAGAAAAAATCATAACATATACAGCTTGAGTATAAGAGGATTTTAATGCATACGTGGTCACTGTTTGTGAGGCCTCCTTAACTATTTTGAGATCAAGAGCTTCCCACTCTTTAGCCCCCTGCTGTGTAGTAAACACAGGATATGCAAAGATGCCCATTGCAGAAAATTCACCAGTAATGTTCGCATCCTTGGTTACCCATTGTTACAACTGAGCGTCTCCAGGGCCAGTAAGTCTGAGCAGACCAACCCGAGAGACGAAGTCAGGGTCTGGAAGCAGAGGATATAAATCTGGCTCGGATTCAGGGGATTCGGGGGCTGATCCTGCGCCGAACTCGGGGTCTCCATTGCTCGCAGCTGTGTCTTTCTTATCAGATGTCTCTCGTTCGGTATGTAGCCATCTGCAGACCTGGCTCCTTCATAACTGAGTTAAAAATTTTTTCACTCTAGGGCATAGTGGGTTGGAGAGGCTCGCGGTTCCTTTAAATCTCCCGCTAGCGCACGATCCCTATTTTCTACTGCGTGATTCAAAATGGCGCCGCAATCAATCCGGTGCTGAGGCACCACCCTCTTTCTTTCGGATTCCTCGACATTTATCATGCGTATACCTTCTAATATACTTCCTCTGTCCTTTTCAAAGTCCCTACTTTCAAAACTGGGGTGGTGTGGGAGCAGGGGGTTACACCTCCTCCACGGGCCCTGTATTCCGGATCCCCGCTAGTCGGGGCCCTGTATCCGGGTCCCCAGAGACCAGGGCCCTGTAGTCCGCGTCCCTGTTCGGGCACCATTTGTAAGAGGCAAGGAGAAGCAGACAGGCCAACCCAATATGGGTGATAAGCAACTTCTATTTTATTTGTGATGCAGTTCACACATATATAGGAGTGGTATTCAGCCACTCCTTCTGGGCAGAACAGTATTGGTTAGCCCCCCACAGCTTCCTCCACATTCTCCTCCCATGTCCGGTCTCCGGCTACCTGTGGGGGCCACCCCCTGCCTTGCTTTCACAGTCCTCCAGAACTCTATGGTCCTGCTCTTAGAGTCATTCTGCAACAACTCTCCCCTTCTTCGCCCCCCCCCCCCCAGTTCCCAGAGGGAGGGGGAGGAGAATCAAAACCTGCAAATCCGATGGGTTGAGATAAGAACAGTCCAGTAACTAAGGTATAATACAAAATCACTACTGCTACCACCAATAATAATAATAAGGAAAATAACAAAGGGAGAGAATATAAAACTAAAAGAGGAAAAGAAAACAATAAACACAAGTTATGTACAATACAATTGCTCATCACCTGCCAACCAATACCCAGCCTGACCTGAGCAGTGATCTGGCCTTCTGGGTGACTCCCCTCAGTTTATATACTGGGCATGACATGCTGTGGTATGGAATAACCCTTTGGATACTTTTGATCAGGTGCCCTGTCTCTGCTTCCTCCTGGCTTCTTGTGCCCCTCCTCACTGGCAGAGCATGACACTGAAAAAGTCCTTGATCAGAGTAAGCATCACTTAACAACAACTAAAAACAGTGGTTTGTTAGTGTTCTCAGGCTAAAGCTGAAAACACAGCACTGCATCAGCTGCTAAGAGGGAGAAAAATAACTGCTACAGCTGAAGCCAAGATATAGTTTCACTCTAAGTAGCAAGTACTTAGGAGTTA